ATGTTTGAGGAGGATTAAATATACTCATATGGAATTATATTTATTTTTTTAAATAATAAAAAACTAACTTGAAATTAATTTTTTTCATTTTCGTTAGAGGAAAAGGGTATATGTGAGCCATTTATATATAATTAGGGGTATATATGAGCCACTTTCATAACGAGGGGTATATCAACTCTAAATGACAAAGTTGAGGGGTATATCAGACCCTTTTCCCTACTTAAAATTTGAAACCAAGTTTAGGATCCAATTTATGTATTATGCTTAAATGAACAAGCAAAACAATGGAGCTTTAACTTAATTTGAGCTCCCCTTTTGTGTTGTTTACTTGTTTTCCAATTCAATGGCGGAAAATTATAGCCTTCAAAGTTCCCATATACAGACAACCAATTTCAGCGAGAACGAAGTCGAACAGGAGGACCCCTCATACTCCTTTTCTCCTTCTAACCTTACCTTCTTTATTCCCTCTTTTGACGATTTTGACTCGGGCCCCGAATCCGTTGATTCGGAGTCCGACCGCTCCGACTTGATCGCAAACCCTACTTCCTTCTTCTATGGCAATGAAGACCAAATGGACCTTGTAACCGATTTGTTCGACTCCCGAAATGACTACGTTACGGATCATCCCCGTGTTGTTCACAGCAATTCCAATGTTAGGGTTTTGCCAGACGGTGAAGAAGTAGAGCTTGAGTTTGAATTTGATGGACTTCGGGTCGTTGGGGTAGACTCCGAGTCCGATTCAGAAGATGTGGAGGTAATTTCGGGGGTTATTCACCAAATTGGTGATTCGAGAGTGCCGGATTTGTGGAGCTGTTTTCGGGTTGGTGATGAGGGGGATTTGGATGAAGATTCAGAGTGGGAAGAAGTTGAGAGGGTTGAAGGGAGGCGGGACAATATGAGTTACCTGATTGGACGAATGGAAGAAATTTCTGTTTCTTCTGATTTCTCTTCCGAAGAAGGAAATTTGGGTTTGGGTGAAGACGGAGAAGCGGGGCAAGTGAGGAATTTAGAATGGGAATTTCTGGTGGCGGTTAATGATCTCGAAAGGAGCCTTGAATTTCACAATGCTGTTATACTTCAAGATGACGGTGGGTTTGGTACTTTTGATTTTGTTGGAAGCCAAGAGAGGTTAAAGGGTAGTCCACCAGCAGCTAAATCTGTACTGGAAAATCTTCCTTTGGTGGTCGTGAGTGATGAAGATTTGAAAGGAAGCAATGCAGCTTGTGCAGTTTGCAAAGATGAGATTTTGTCAACGGAGAAAGTGACTAGGTTGCCTTGTTCTCACTATTACCATTGTGATTGTATTTTGCCATGGCTAAATATCCGTAATACATGTCCTGTTTGTCGCCACGAGTTTCCCACGGATGATGCTGATTATGAGAGGGAAAATGGAAGGAGTGCTGGTCCAGGACATGTTAATGATTTTCAGGTTAGATACAATTTTGAACCTGTGCTCTGACATTGCAAATTCTGTTCTGTTGACAGATTTCCTGGACATAGTACAAATCTCATTTTAGCTAAGCATGTTCAAAATCTTTTCATATAATTTTCCTTTTTCTTCCTTACCTTTTTAGTTTTGGTACTATATATGTAAAGTTGCCAATTTTATTCTGTGAGTATCACATAGACAACTAGTTGGATTACCACTGAAAAATGATGAAAACTCTGAATCTCTGTATATTCAAAAGTTAGTAGTTTCTTCTCCAGCTTGAAAATATTAGTTGCCGAATCATTATCTTGGTAATATGGTGGGGAAGCTTTTCAGAATCTTGACCTTAGTGTGTTCTAATATTTCTAATATATCTAGTTGTACTAAAGATTTTGCATCATATAGTGATGCAATATTCACATAATTATCAAATCTCTGGATTTGTAACTTGCAGCATGTTGTCTTCACATGTGTTTATCATATATATCTACTTTCTTATCAAAACTTCTAGAGCCATTTAGTTTCTGCTTTCTTTTGACAAGTAAAAGAATTTCATCACATTGGCTAAATTAGCACCAAGAGGGTGCTACCTCTACAAAGTGGATACAAAATACACCAGCTCCCTATACTTCCTATAAGGAGCTAAAGAGTACAAATTAATTGTCTATATTGTGTATATATTTCAATTTAAGCTAACAGATATAAGCATTTCTATTTTATATATTACTGTTAAAACCTTGGGTTGAAGCATTTGTTGTTTCTCTCTTTCTGAACAATTCATAAAAATGCAAGCTGGAATCATGGTCCAACCCTTTTGGTGCTGCTTGCCAGTATCCTTCCTTACCAGCTGAAATAAGTTCCCTTTAGAGGCATGGGCATTATCAACTTTGTGTATATAAAGGAGCATATTCGATAACTGTGTCAAGAGACACACAACTAAATAAATGATTAGCATCTTCCAACTCTCTGGCACACATTAGCAGCTGTTAAACATAACCATACCCCTTATCTGGAGATAAAACCAAGCCAAACAAATATCATGAATAGCAGTCCAGCTGAAGCGAACCACCTTAAGAGATACTTTGTTTATTCAGATCTTCCCGGACCAGTTTATGCTGGTACTCTTAGCTATTTTTAATGCATTGTAGGCTGTAGCATTGCTTGATGAAGAAAGATCCACATTTACTTAACCCCCATCTCAAAGAGTGACACTCATATGTTGTCTCTTATACCACTTATACAATATCAAATTATCAATAACTAAGATGATAGGGTATCAAATTTCCAATTATAACAGTTTCTCAATTTTTTATTGTGTCATGATGTGTCTGGTGTTGAGCTAATTGCAACCTCCTTAACTTTTAGAATGAAAAGGAAAAATCATCTCATGATCTTAGGTACATGTCCATTATCATTTGAACAAGAATCTCCTGATATATATTTTCAAGGACACAGGGTGCTTCTTTCTCACATCCTCCTGGGCGACTAGAACTGCCAAACCTCTAGGTCAGAAATAAAGGAAATACAAGTGTTTTTACCACGGGAGAAACCTGTCTCAGCAGTTGCCTGGAAGTTCTTTTCCTATCTGACCGGGTGGAAATTGTTCTGCTCGCTCTTTTCTTGAAATAGGAAATTTGTTCTTAGTTTTTACAACTTCACAACCACATCTACTACTGGGAGTTGAGACACAAAGTAGGTGGATGTTTGTCCATTTCTTTTTCGATTAATATAAAAAAGTAGTTAAGTATGCTGTCAAGAACACAGTTCGTGAAATCTTTCTACCCAGAGATTAAGCCTACCTTATTTTGCAGTAACCATTGTCTTCTAGACTTCTTGATTTTGGCTTTTCTCATAACAAATCCAACATTAGGGGTTCTTTTTAGGTATATTTCACTCTAATTTTCACAGTTTCCAGAGTTACCTTCTCCCATATAACTTGGTAGAGATTATGTTGCTCACTCTCTACTTCCCATGAGATGTTACCTTCAGTTTGTGTGATTTCTTTCTACTCTTCACCTACTTTGTCTCAATTTCCAATCGTAGTCGCCTGCATTATGTATCTACCCTAAATCATAGCTGTGATTATGAAGAAGTTGGACAAATTGAGAAGGCAGTACTTATCGATGGGAGGTAGATTGGTCTTGTTTGACAGCATACTTAGTTATTTTTTCAAAATAATTAAAAGGCAGGTGATTAGGTGTCTTGGGAATGATAATCAGATCAGCTTATCCACCTATGGACAAGTACCACCTTCTCCAATCAAATAGTTTCTTCTTTTTTTTTGAAACTTGGTAACTTTGTATTATAACACAATAGTACATGGGCAGTACTAAACCTTATATACAGATGAACTCCAAAAACTCCACTATTCTAAATCTAAATTGAATCTAGAACATCAATTATAGAGACAGTTTCATTTGAGTATAATTGATTGCACCAAAAACATAACAACAAAATGCAGTTGAGTTTAACTTTCTGCATACTATTCTCTACGCTCTCAAAACACCTAGAATTTCTCTCTTTCCAGGTTGCCCACCAGATTGAAGCAGGGATAATTCTCCATCTCGTTCTGTCTTTAGCTAGCACTCCTGCCTCCTCCCAACTTTTTAGGGCTTCAGTAATTCTCCTAGGCATAGCCCAGGATATGCCTTTGAGACTCAAGAATACCCTCCATAATTGTTGAGTAAATTTGCAGTGTAGAAAAAGATGGTTAACAGTTTCTGATGTTTCTCCACAAAGAAAACACCTAGAACATAAGGTTATCCCCCTTTTCATAACATTATCCTGTGTCAAAGCTGCTTCCTTAGCTAGCAGCCATATAAAACATGAGACTTTATAAGGAATTCTGCCTTTCCAAATTTGTCTCCATGGCCAGATAGGAATCTGTTGACTTGGTTGCTCCATCAACCTGTAAGCTGCACCTACTTTAAATATACCTTTGCTGCTTCCTTTCCACCATAATGCATCCTCTTCAGCCTGGAGTCCATTGAAGTTTCCAACAATGTTGAGAAATTCTGCCACTCTCATCACTTCCCAGTCATTGAGATGTCTTCTGAACTGGAAATTCCAGCCCTGTGTTGTCCAAATCTCTGCAATGGTCCTTTGTTGTGAGAGAACTAGGTTATATATGTCTGGAAAGAGGAGTTCCAGATTACCTGACTCATGCCATTCATCTTTCCAGAATTTGGTCTTGTTCCCATTCATAGTTTCTTTTCTCAAACATTTTTTAAGGTATAGGAAGAGATCTAGAAGGAAATTGACCATAAAAATGTGGGATGTGCTAACTTGGTAGTTCACTATTGTGTCTTACTTTGAAGTCCTCCGTCCTTTTAAATAAAATGGTAATAATTGTATTAGTAAACGACACAAAGGTGCTGTAATTTTCTGATCAAGTGAGCGAAGAATCAAAAGTATAGCCCTCTTCTAATCTTTAGAGGGGCTATGTGAAATCTAATGAAGTTTATGCCTCATTTGCATATTCCTTTTTATACAAGAATTGAAAGCGAAATAATAAGATATAATCTAACTTAATCCTCTGTACTGGTTTTTGTTTGCCTTCAAAATATCAAGTTCCTTTATCTGGGCAAGTGAGGGTTGTTCAAATGGTTGAGCACCTTCACCATCAACCGTTAGGCTGAGGGTTCAAGTCAGTGGAGGGTAAGTGGGAACACTATTGATCCCCTCCTAGTGGGGCGGGGTGGGGAAAAAAGAAGAGGAGTTCCTTTATCTGCAAAACACCAACCAGATACAAGCTGGAATCATATGCCACCAGCTATTTCTTACTTTGTCCAACCTTATCTATACCAATGACTCCGAAGAGTTTATGTATATTCCTGGACATTGACCATTTGATTCCAGCAAAGTTGAGAAATGGCTGCCATAGCTGGTCAGTTATGGGGTGCCAAAAAAAAGAAGAAGATGATTAGTATTAGTGGTTTCCGTTTGGCCTCCTCATAAATAACATCTGTTCATAAGGGTAACCCTCTTTTATGAAGGTTATCTTTAGTGAGGCAGGCCTCCTTTGCCCCAATCCAAGAAAAATCATATCTTTAGTGGTCCAACATCATAAAAATAAATAGCAAGTTCATCTGAATTTCCTTTTGGGAAGAAAAGAAGCTCTCAGTGGCTCCATTGATAAAATTTTATCCAGTTAAACCATCTTCTTTCAAAGGCCATCTCTTCTTAGGTTTAAGAGGAAGCCCCATATGATCAAGTGCCTTTTCTAAATTCAATTTTAGAAGACCTGCATTCGTAATATTACTTGACCATTGCCTAACCTTGACCGAAAGGAGTCTCATATTGATGAACGTAATAGTGTTACTCGCATCTTACTGGACCAATGACCAACATTAGAACATTTTTTATTTCATTTTCATAAAAGGTAAGCTAAATTACGGTTAGCTGCATTCAACACCCAAGTTCTTTTTTGGCCAAGCTATTCAGATTGTGGTTGCTGGGTGACTCTGGGGAATGAACTTTTGGATGTAAATTTGCAATTTTCAGGCTGTACGTTACTGATTCCTTCCTTCCCTTGATCAAATTTATTTTGAGTTAACCTAACCAAAAGTTGAAGTACCTAAAGTAGCCATACTTGTTTTCTGTCAAATCTAATTGGCATAATACATAATATGCCCTTTTAACTTGGAGTCATTTTACATTTATGTTCTTCAACTTTGTGTGTGAGCAAGTAGACAATTAAACTTGTATAAAGTTGAACGACACGCATGTCCTACATGGTGTCTTACGTGTATTATGCCACATAGGACTTGTGTGTCTACTTGTTCAACTTTATAAATGTTTCAAGTGTATATTTGTTAGACACCCAAAGTTGGAGGGCATATTTGTGAAATAATGTCAAGTTAAAAGACACATTTATGTATTATGCCAATCTAATTTATCCGAGAATTTAATTAGATATTTTGTTCTCACAAGTTATTTATGGGCTCTCCCGGTGATAATTTCGGTACTGTTTTGCGATTTATATATGTTTTCATATTTTGGGTGGATTTCTCAACATCTTGACTCTTGAGAGACCATTTTGGAAGCCGAAATCATCCGTCTTTTCTGTGAA